GTGATTTCCTGCGAAACAAAGCAAAAAGGAGCATATGTCTATAGGACTTTTTTTCTTAGTTTTTTACTCCTCTACACGCTCCCGAAGTTTTGCCATTTAATTTGGAAACACCCTGTATAATGTATACGTAATCTGTTATGCTGACATTGAATGATAACGCTTTCAAAATTCTTATACTGACAAGGGAAATTTCACAACGGTCCGGAACCGATTTGATTCTCCATGAAATATGTTGAAACACGAAAATCTAAGAGACACGTATTTTTTTATACGTGCTTTAACTCATGTTTAAGGGGTGAAACACCCCTTTGAAAATAATTTTTCTTTCGAGGCGAATATCGTCGGAAGCATAAAAGATAGAAAAAAATTTTTTTAATAAAATGTTTAACAATTGTTAACAAACAATTAAAAATAATTTTTTTTCTTCACAACATTGATGTACTCTTGAAACCGTACAACTTTTGTTTAAAAAATTTTTTCGCCTCGAAAGAAAAATACTATTTTTTTTTCAAAGGGGTGTTGCACCCCTTAAACATGAGTTAAGGCACATATAAAAAAATACGTGTCTCTTAGATTTTCGTGTTTAACAACATATTTCATGGAGAATCAAATCAATTCCGGACAGTAGTGAAACTTCCCTTGTGAGATTTCTCAAAAATTTAGCAGCATTGACATTTTTCATTTATATATAATTTTTTATATTGGAAAATCGTTAATAAATTCTTGAAATTTTTAATTCTATATTTCGAATTGTTTTTCGTGCATATAAATGCTAATTATATAAGTGTAACAATTCATTGTTGAAGCAACACTCAATAACCAATTTTAACATTTGTGAAATTTTTGCATCTACGTTTTTTATTAAATCGAATATGTTTGTCTAAATTGTTTCGGGATTTGAGATTATGGCTGCAGAATAGAAGGAAACAACTCGTTTAAGCTCTTGAGAATGTTCTTGTAACTGCCAAATCGAAAAGACAAGAGACACTTAGCGAGACAAGTAACGTAGAGTCGGACAGATGGTATTAAATCGATTAGTTCGTAGCATCTGAGAAATTTCAGCACGGATAAATGTCTCGCTTCATTCCTTTCTTCTTCCTTTCTTTGCCTTACTTCCCTTCAATCGTATCATACATCAAAGAAGTCGAAGATCGTCTCAATTACACGTCCTCAATATGTAGGTACATGTGCTACTTAGGGATTATCGAGATCACCTCTTCACGAAGAAACAAGCGAACCAACGATGCCTTTCAAATTTCTAATAGCGAATCTATGCTAATTAACACGTATCAGCGCAAATATTAGCAAATATCTTTAAATTAAGTTTTTACATTTTAAACGTGAAATTATTTTAATTATTTAGTTTTTGTTATTTTGATATCAGTTTCACTTTATTTGATATCAGTTTAACTAATCTGCTGATGATTAAATAAATAATATTATCGGCAAAATTTTTTATTCATTATTGGAATATTTTTGATATATCATTGTAGATTAATATATTCAATTGGGACAAAGAAGCTTTGTCCCAAATGCAATAAGAAACAATTCCCAGAGAAAATGATTTTGCTAATCTTCTTCAATTAAAATGAAATAAAAAAAGAGAGTAAGAACAAAAAAAGAAAACGGTCACTCTAAACCATTACATAATTTAAACCGCGCTATCGATAATAACTGAAATTGAAATTATTTTCATGAGTTTTTATTATACAAACAGTACATCTATTTTACAGATATCTTTTTCCCTCTGCGAAGTACATATATTTGACAAAGTATATTATTCCGACTGGAATATCCCGTTTTATCGATTCCGTTTTATTTTTTGATATCTAAATTTCAATTTATCAAAAATAATACTCAAAGGTATCTATATCGTTGACTATATCGATAAACTCGCATAAAATACATAAAATTTTAGTTTAAAAGCAAACTCAACTTACCGATAAATAAATACTGAACCGACGACGAGAACGACTACGATGGAGCTCAATACCATAGAGAGAATAGCGTATCCCGGAAGAGCTGTCAAACATTCATGTAATTTAAATTACAAAAAAACATTATATTTTTCAAAATTATATTTCAAAACGTCCTCTCCGAAGAAGATTTTACTGTATATACTATAGTATATGTGTACTACATATTTCAAGGAAAATAAAATTTTTCTCGGAGAGGATGTTTTGAAATGTATCCTAAGAAAGAGGAAGAGAGCGAGAGAGAGAGAGAGAGAGAGAGAGTCAAGTAATCAGATTGCTATATGTACTAAAAGAATCACACAGAATTATGCCAACGCAATTATAAAAAGTGATCTATATTTTGTTTTAAACAGTCCAGTTATAAATATTAAATATTTTTAGTCACGAAAATGTTATTAAAATTTATCAAATATATGAAAATCATTTTATTCTTTGTTATGCGATTACATATTTCTATTACGTATTTTCGCAATTCTGTATCTCATATTACATTTAAACTTAAATTAAAAAAGCATTACCCACTCACAATTATCAGGACATAATGACCCGTCGAATCCGCACGTAGGCGTATCCGGGGGTGGTTCTAAACGACCACCGGCCCAATGAATTTGTTTCCCAGGAATATATTCCAATGTTTTATTCGCACCGTAATAATTGGCTACAATCTGCGGGAAATTAATTCACGAATAAGATAAAAAGCATAGAAGAGGATGAAACAAGTTCGTGAGTGTGTTACAGAGTAAAACAATACACGTTATAGATATTGTCGGATTTTGTACTTATTGTTAGTTAACTTGTTAATGCTAAACTCGCTCACCATGCAACATCCTAAATTAAATTATTTTAGTTTCGGAACTTTGGGTAAAATTGTATCTTATAATTAGGAATAGATAATTGTTAATTTTCGGAGATGTCTTACTTCGAATTTGGATGTTTCCGGGTCCATGTCCAATAAAGAATAATCCGCAATTCTATCGCCATTTTCATCGATGTTTACGTCGCCAGTTATTCCTGGAATTGGTCATAATTATGCAAAAATAAAGCATCGTATTTATAATTACTCAGTGGTTTAATGACTTAATACTTAATTAAAATTTAATATAACAGTCAGGTAGTTGCAAAGAATTGTTAATTCTCGAAGAACTTGATTTCGCGCGATGATAAAATCTCGTGTGGCAATCGCTGCAGTTCGACATAACCGATATATAGAAATGCAATACTCTATGAGAATTTATATAGGAGCACGGTAAAACGGTTCTGCTAAATATCTAAGTTAACTAGATATTGATCTGAAACTCATTTCGTTGGGTTAACAAAATAATTATACAAGACGCCAAGCTGATTGCTTGGAAACTTTGTCAAAACTTTTTACAACTCATCTTGAGTATGTTCCACTTAAGTAACGTTCGCAACGCTCACGAGCAACATTTCACCCTTGTTGTTTATCAAATATTAGATGAAATGATGTACGCGAGCATTGTAACGTTAAATAGAACGCGTCCTTAAAGTTTTCTACATAATTTTGATTAATTGAGATTCTTACATAACGTTATATTATTTTGGTGGTCCAACAAAATTATTTTCAGGTCAGTATCTATCAAAATTCTTAGATACTTCAGAAAAATCATTCTTTCTGTGAGGATATAACATAAGACATGAACAGAATATTAAAATACAAAGCAAACTGGCAATCTTGCATTCCTTTTGACGTTAGTTACGTCAGCTATAAAATTCTTTTAGAAAACTCACGAGTCGAAGATCGTGGTGAAACTTTGTGGCGTATATGTATATGTAAGGAAATAAAAGGTAATCATACTTCAAAAATACTTGCTTGATAGATGAGACGTAAAGCCAGAGCAAAAAGCAATTGTTTGTATTCTCATGTTGCAAGATAAAATAATGTAAACTCAGACTGATAAATATTTGAGTAATATATATTTATTTACGTGTAACTGGAAATATTTTTTAAAACGGTCGCTTTCAAATTAATTGAAAAATTTTAAATTAAAAGAAGCGCATACGATTTGAAACACGTTATATGCGTAGCAAAAATGAAAATATTATAAACGTTCAAATAACATTTCGAGGAAGTGGAAAGAGAGAAAGATGATAATGCATAAATTAATTTCGTTATTAAAGTTGGAAAGCCGTGACGATATCTTTGACAAATTGTTGCGAATAACGATTCATCGGAGTAGTTAATTTAATTTTTCTGGCTAAAGCTTCTCTAATTAACAATGATATTTTCAATTTATTCATTTTCTTCTACGTCATTGACTGATTCTCATTCTATGAGCTTAAGTTTTTTCTATACCTCTTAACGACATTGTCGATATCGTTACATTTATCGTCGAAGCTTTTTTACTAAAAAAAACTGTACTAGCTTTGTCGACTATAATTACAAATGACGTGCGACGATCCGTTGACATTAATGTTAATTAGGAGAGAGAGCTTATTGTAAATTCTTAAATAATTCCGCACAAGAGATCTCCACGATCGACATAATTTTCGCTAAAGTCATGCCTGGTTGGTCATGATTGACGCGAGAGCAGATGACTTCTGCTATAAATATAAGCAACAATAAATGAAAAAAGCTGAAACTTACCCTTGAAACTTTTTCCCCACATTCTCCGCGTCAAATTACCGCCATCTAAATTGACCTCACCCGGCTTCTCTGGCAGACTGTCTTTAAGGGCGAGAGCATAAAGCAACACGGCATCATAAAACGCCGTCACAAAGGTTGAGACTGAGCTGTTACCGAAAATGAAGTTATATTTGCTCTGAGCCAGGGATTTAACTTCACGCGAGAAATTCAGGTATTCTAGATTGTCTGGGGTGCGCGCCGTCACTGTCAATAAGGCCTGATAAGCCTTTCGAGCCTTCTCGTTCCTCTCGTCTGTATCGCCGTCGACTCTCCATGGCTCCTTGGAATCATTATCGCTAGAAAACATTCATTCACTTGATACTCCGCAATAAGTTTCTTTACAAATATATGTCATTACGATACAAAAAAATTCATGCGTTTGTCGAATCATTGAAAGATTTGACTTTAATTTTATGAAAATTTTATCATTACAAAAACTGCTGTTACAAAGTAAGCATTTTTTTAATAATAAACAATTATGTATCATATTGAAATCTTCGGAAAAGATTATTTTAATTATTTCATAGATTATTTTAATTATTTTGTATAATTACATTTCATTTAACGTTACGTATATTAAAGCCGATATAATGTTGCGTAAATATTATAAAAGCACCTCGTAATATAAATTCTGCTAAGAAAAGTTTATATTATGAAGAATATACTTAAAAAAATACACATATCAGAAACATCCATGTAAAGAGTTTAAATTGTTTTTTTAACTTTTTTTTCTTTTAAGCTTGCTACATTTAATTGAAATGAATTTATAAAAATAATCTCTCTCATATATATATCTCATATACGGAGAGAATTTTGTTTTAAAATTTACCCTGAAAATATGGTAGTTGTACAGTATAATATTTTAAAGATTTTTACTATGCACTTCAATAAAATTAATCAAACTTATTTTATACTTTGTAGTTTTATTAATGAATGAGAGAGATTTACATTAAAATTCTTCGAAATACAATGTTGTCCCACGACTATCATATTTTCAGGGTAAACTGTAAGAAACAATTCTCTCCGTGTACATATGTATAATATATACAAGGTGTCCCAATAACTATTAGCACCTGAAATGTCTTCGAATCTATGAGGTTTAGAGGAAAATTTGTATAACCAAAATTGCACGATATGAAGGGGTCTATCATACGGTGATAATAATTTTTGTCTAGGTGAAGGTGCTTCGGAGATTTCAAGGTCAACTTCATTTTTTAAAATGGAATTATATGATTTTTTTACATAATATAATTCCTCTAGTTATCCTGCATACAAAAGTATTAAAGTAAAAGTATCGCAAAATCAATATTTTACGAGATATTTTATATTTTATTCTGGCATATATTGACATAAAATGTTAAATAATTGGTAAATTAATAATTTTTTGATAACCATACCTTAATACTTTTATCAATTGGTGTAAAGAAAACACACAGTTGCTTTAAAAAAATGTGGCTGCAAAATGGATAATTTTTTAAATAACTATGTATTTTCTTTACACCAATTGATTCATCTCATTATTATATTCATAAAAGTATTAAGATACGATTATCAAAAAATTATTAATTTATGAGTTATTATATTTAATACTTTATGTCAATACGTGCCGAAATAAACTATAAAATATCTTGTAAACTATTAATTTTTCGATATTTTTACCTTAATACTTTTATACACAAAATAATTAAAGAAATCATATTAGGTAAAAAATCATATAATTCCATTTTAAAAAATAAAGTTGACCTTGAAATCTCTGAAGCGCCTTCACCTGGACAAAAATTATTATCGCCATGTGATAGACCTCTTCAAATCGTGCAATTTCGGTTATACAAATTTTCCTGTAGATCTTATAGATTCGAATAGAGACCCTCTAATAAGAGTCATGACATCAGAAAGCCGCATTTTGATTGGTCCGACATGTTTCAACAACTCCGGCCTATATTTGAATATCTATATTCGTGTTATTCTTAAATTTCAACAATATAATTAAAATTAATTATTTTAAAGGCATTAACAAATAGATTTCTTACATTACATGTCGAAATAACGCATGCGAGAAAAGAATTTGCTGTTGCAGGCGTCCAATTTTTCACACCATTTCCTCAACATCTTTCGCTAATATTTTTCGCCCAACATTATAAAGCATGACGTTCGGCATATCGAAGAAATGCTTTTAACATGTAGCCTTTGGCTATTGAATTGTTATAAAATGGGGCTGCACACCCAACCATTTGTAATAATAACTTTTATAGAACATTACGCGTGTTTCGTCACCTGTCGTCAGTTCATCAGCTCAATCAATTGCCGTCAGCGCAGATAGGTTAGAAACGCGTTAAGATTAGACAGAGATACAATATATTTCTCTCTTTGTTTTCGATTTTGAGGAAACTACTACCCTGCATACAAAAGTCGACTTGTGTCGCGACTCTTATTAGAGGGTCTCTAGATTCGAACATATTTCAGGTATTAATAGTTGTTGGGACACCCTGTATGTATATATACATATATATATACATATATATAGTGTCCCATTTTAAATAATACATTAAGATTTCTCGAAAACTATGGTAGATACGGAAAAATGTTTCAAACAAAAGTTGTATGGTTCGGAGTGGGACATACGAAAGTACTATTTATTTGACGTTAGGTGGCGTAGCCAAGACCAGGTCAAGGTCACGTTGATTTTTTTTAATGGAACTCCCTATTTTTCATTATATTTTCTTGTAGCTTACCTCGAAAGCTTTTCAAAACATTATAATAAAATATTTTTTCATTAAGTATTTTTCGAGTTACGAGGCTCGAAAGTTACAGTACAGTCAGCATTAGCATTACGCAAGTTGCCCGACCGACGACTAAAACCTCTTGAATGTTATTCAGGATCATGTCCTGCATAACATTTATCAAGATCAATGGCCTTGAGATCATTGAAGATTATTCCTCTTATTTTCATTTTTGCACTAAAAATTCATTTTTACGTAAAAATGAAAATAAGAGGTACAACCTCCATTGGCTTTGATCTTGACAAATGTTATCCAGGATATGATCCTGAACAACATTCAAGAGGTTTTGACCGTCGGACAACTTGCGTAATGCTAATGCCGGCTGTACTGTAACTTTCGAGCTTTATAACTCGAAAAATACTTAATGAAAAAATATTTTATTATAGTGTTTTGAAAAGCTCTCGAGGTAAGCTACAAGAAAATGTAATTAAAAATAGGGGGTTTCATTTACAAAAATCGATGCGACCTTGACCTGGCCTTGGCGACGCCACCCAAGATCAAAACAATGGTACCTTCTTATGTCTCCCTCCGAACCATACAACTTTTATTTGAAACATTTTTCTGTATTTACCCTTAATGCATTATTTGAAATGGGACATCCTGTATACTGAAAATTGTTAAAAACATTGGATTTTTACAACTCTGTGTATTTTGTTTCCTGGAATATTACCTGAAATCGTTGAGATTAAAGCGACACATGATATGCGACCCAATTAATTTATGTTTCGATGTGAAACATCATTTAACTACACTGTGACCGAGCAGCTTTTCGCCTTTATATCGTTACCAGAGATCATAACTTTCATTTTATGATGCTCGATCGTTACGTTATAATTGGAACATATAAAAGCCACAAACATCTACCATATGTAATGCGTGTAACACTTAAATTACAAGACACGAAAATTTTCAAGTAGAAAAAAAATCATGATGTGGGTGGCGGAACGACTACGGGGCGCGTGATTAAATAAAGTGACGTCGTCGGGAATAACACAGCATCACCGTGGGCGTCTGCGCCAACGAAGGCTCACTTGTTTATTTTTTTTATTTCTTGCACATCTCTTCCGAGCTTTAGGTGAGCGAATAAAAATCGACATAGTTCGGAAGCAATCTTAAGTCATTCCACAAAGTTTTTCCCCGCTTGGCATTCTGGAAATTTCTTGACTTTTTTATCTACGATAGAAACATCGGAGATGCTTAATTATCCGAGAAAAAACCGGGTACGTTCTTTGCGTAATGAATGTGAATTTAAAAGACACATGGCATTTTTTTTTTTCAACATCTGCAATAGACTGGCAATTGTAGAAAGGTTATCGGATTAATTCTAGCTGGAAAAACTGATGAATAAAAATTCCAATTACTACTGAAGTCAACACCAATAGTTGCTCAAGTCACGAGATAGTCAAGCTGCTTTTCCATTCCGTGTTTGTTTTAAATCTCACATGAAGCTCGTTAAATCCGATTTTCATCATTTTTCGCTCTGGAAAAAAATTTATGAGATCGAGATTTTGCTAAATTCGTGCGAAAATTTTTGTTTATTATATTTTTTTTTTGAAAACTGTTTCATTTTTGAAAACTATTTCTCTAATTACTGACGTAATGGTGAAGACTATAATTTAGTAACTTTATACAGTTTACAATGGTATCAATGTGGTTGTGTCTACTCGTATTCTGATTCGATTTTATCTCAATGAAAGACTGCGGTTTAAGGTTTCCGACGGATAAATTCCACTCGACTCGAAATCGCGCGATATCCTGTATTAACGAGATCCATAAGCAGACAAAGAACGATGAAAGAGCGAAAATGCAATTGGATATTCTCTACAATAGTTTTGTTTTCACAGAGACAGATATTTTCTTTATGTAACCGAACGATCATAACGCGCGATTTGTATCATCGAAATCACTAAAATTCAAGGTTTGTCTCTCTCACTTCGATTTTATTCGCATCGTTTAAATAAGACCATCAAGAAAATAAAATAACATCCAAGAATGCGATCGTAAGTTCCTTACGATGGCAAAGAATCACGTACTATGTTACGTTTACGACGTTCCAGGATTAACAATTTCCCAGGACAAAGCTTTTCAAATCCCGTTAAACAACACGATCGTACGATGTGTACTTTGTACAAACAAGAAATTTAATGCTGTCCGACATGCTTATTTTAATTAGCCAAATTTCTCTCTAACATTTAAAGAATGTCTTTTCTTACAAAGTTAATATAGCTTTATTCTGCGAAAAAAGGGATCGATATAGCTTTATCCTGCGAAAAATAAGGGATCGGATTGGTGAGTCGCATACTAGGCAGTGTCTTTGTGAACACGAGCGCATTAACATTTTCAATTATATATACAGTATGTACGTAAGTTTAAACGCAAGTTTATCTAATCGAGCAAACTGCTTCGCGATCACATGCGAAACAACTGCGTCAACGATATCGATGTGTGGCAAGAGATAAATTAAGTTGAACTAAACTCTAAAACTCTTGATAGCATAAAGTAAGCTTCTCAAGGAAGCAGAATGAACAAAGTAAATCTAATTGTCTCCCTCTAACCATATTACGTTAAATAATTGAACTAATATTAGCACATTGTTCCAGATAATCATAGAAATTGCTTCTAGTTACTTATTGTTAGTCGAGATAAGTAATTACTATCGAAATATACTGAATAATATACCGACAATATCACATTAATAATACAAGATGTTTACGTGAATTTTTATAGAGAAATTTTGTTCTAATTTGCATAAATAAAAAATCTTTTCTCTATATAGAACGAACACATATTTCAATGAAGAAATGTTCAGCATCGTCCGAATCCATTAAGGTCTTTTTATTTATTTTTTGTCCCTCCATGAATACAGACGCGACGTATTTCATGCCAATTTTCCTTCTATAAGGGGCCAGTCCATATATACCGAGTACGATTCCACATTCGTTTCAATTATAAAACAGCTTCAGTGTCCGAGACACGCGCTATTGTGCAAGCGTTCCTGTTTATGCTCCAGTTTTTTGACATACGACTCGTATTGCTGCAGATTTTGAACGTTGTAAACTAATTTATAGCATAAGCTATCTAAAATAATATTTCAAAATTGCCTCATTAGGCAACATAATATACGAGGTTTTAACAAGAGTATTTACACATAGAATATTTTGAGTGAGATATCTTTAGATTAAAAAGAGAAAGAAGATTAACCTGATAGTTACATTATCGATTGTTCTACAATTATTAGCATTTGAAATTATTATGTATATATATTTACTTCATATTTTAAAAAAATAAGATGAAATAACAAAATAGGTGTGCATTCCTAATAAAAAAAGACCTATTACGATATATACGAGTTTCATTTCCTTGCTGTATGTACAGGTATACTGGGGTATAAAAATCATCCCAATAGGTGATTATTTCCGGATTAAAGAGTGAAAATTATTATACGCAAACATAATTCTATTCTCAGTATGATTAAAAAAAAAATTAATTTCGTTCTCTCAGATATGCATGAGTTTTTCTTGCAATTATTTTTCTATCTTGTGTGTTTAAAATGCATTGGACGCAAAAATATTTTACATCCTGTCTCATTTAAATGCTTGTGAAATGTTATGTTTATATGGTTACATGTTTATCATTATTTTTCATTTTGCACGAAACTTTCGCAATAACGTGCTATTCACGCCAACGAATAATGTATGCAATTACTCTTAGTGCTAAAATTGCGAGTTTACTCACCTGGACGAGAGCTCTATGGAGAAGAACACGTATTCCCCTGAGTCCACCATCCCGAGCTCCTCGGCAGCTAGCAATATTTCCCGAATAGTCGTTGAATTAGCGCACATCACTATAACTGAAACAGGGAGAAAAACCGATTTCTTACGAGGCACATTGAGATCTATATAAATATTATCGCGATCGAACCACTTTGCAATATGCGCTCGAGCTCGAGCCAATTATATTTGCAATTTGCTGCATACAAATGTGGCACGTATATATCTACTTAATTCTACGTGAAAATACACAGTTCCATGTGTGTTAACGTATTTGCAAGTGTATATTTAAGAAATATATTTTAAAAAGTAAGTCTAATTGTATTCGTGATTACCAATAGATATTATTATAAAAGATATATTTTTGCATCAACCTTTATGTTAACAAACTTACTGCATTTATCGTATTTTTTTATTTCTTATATTTTTATTTAAAAATTTATAATTATACAACTCAAATACATTTCTAGACAATCCAACTCATAGTTAAAAAATTAGAGATTATGTGTTTGTGATGAGGTTTTCGTAACTTTATATAATATATATATATATATAAATTAATATCTATTTCTTAAAAATATAAGTTAAAAACACGATTTATAAAGAAATAAGTTCTTCAATTATATTATTCAACAAAAAATTATTTTTTTTAACATAAGAACGAAGATAATCATTTTTCGTGGTTTTTTAAACGCTAAATATGATTCTGTTTATCAAAGCGTTCTATCGCGTCGCAATTTTGAGGAAATTGCGAACAGGATTACATTGACCGTCTAAAAATTTGAAAACGATTACTTTCATTCTTGTATATTTTTTGTTGAACAGTATTATGTAACTTTTTATGATTGTAGAAATTAATATAAATTTAGTGGTCATTTGCCAATGATTATATTTGCAGATGATCATCTACAAATCATCTATTAATGCATTTAAGTCTCATACAAATTCCAAAATTATAAAACAAGTTATTAAAGCAATAAGATAACAAATTATATTGTCTATCTCAACTTCAACGATTTATAATCGTCGTTGTATATATCATCGTGCTTCGACATCTTTATCCCAACTCAATCCAGCTTAAACCGAGCGGATTCAACACGGAATTCAAGTAGATATACATGGAAGATGGGAAGTCACAAGGAAATTTCGATTATAGTTTCACTTTAAAGTGGAATACCGTAGGTCGACGTTTCACTTCTACATCGATGCTTCACGCGCAAATTATTTTGTACGCGAGTCTTCTCTATCAAAAGGTGCATTATCTTGTCAAGTTCGCATTATCTGAACTTCACACGTGCTTACAATATCGCGGATAGACAAATATTCATCATGTCAAAGTAAAAAGAATAAAATCCGGCGTAAATCCAGAAAATCTTCTATACACCGCCAACATTCAGACATTTTACTTTCTCCCACACATCGACAATATAAAACTGTCCGAATTAAAATGGGAATGTTGCGCACGCGATGAAAACCTGCATTAAAAATATGTGAATTTTATTAAATGCTGAATTAGCATTGCAAAAGCATCCCTAACAAATCAATAATTTTTTTGCCATATAAAATAATATAGAGAAACAACACTGAACGATATTGCTTAAAGTTCTGCCGATATATGAATCAAAAATAATTGTGATGTTTTTTCGTTTTTCCATTTCAGAAAGAACACTGTAGTATATGTCCCATAAAAAATCTAAATAAAATTTGTGCTTTGGTATACATATCTTCGGTTTTATTAACCGTTTGAATTTTTCGGAGAGAAGAAGCAGTTCAGTTACGACGTTCTCAAGAATTGATTCACTCACATAAATGTCTAATATTTTTAAAAACTATCGTTTGTAAAATTGTTTTGCGGTATGCAATACATATAAAATTATATATATATTGTAAATGGAAGTTGCTGTTTACATATACATTTTGACGTACATATTTAAAAAACAATTGTTTTTGTATTCGTTAGTAAAAATTATATAATTATTTAGCTGTTATATATAATTATTTAGCTATTATTACATGCATTATGCAAGTAACGATAACGATCATATTTTATCTTATCATTTCAAGCAACTTGGAGCAACATATTTTGTTATTTTACTGATTATTTCGAATATCGTTTAAAAAAATTTAGGGATTCGACTATGATTTTGTGCGCTTAAAGTAACTGCAACAAATAATACGTCTAAAGTATTAGACATGTTATTAAAAAAATTGCTAAATTAATTTTGCGAAATCGTTTCGCAGATGTCTTGATTCTCACGAAATACATTTAAGCAAAATACGCTTTCACAAAGTAATATCTGCGACTAGTCGTATGGTTGCACCGCAACATGCCAGGCCAGATATAAACGTTTATCCAAGCAAAGTCATAATCCGGCTTTACGACAAGTCCAACACGCGCCATTAATCGGTGCAACTATCGTATACGTCTTCAACTAACTTTGGATCAGAATACAATTCAGAACATTAACATTTTGAGAAACATTCAAGGAATTCTATAGATAATCTATCAACGCATCGAGAGAGATTGCAGAATTAATTTTCTTTGATCTAAATGCTTACGTTCACGTTTGATTAATTACGTTCGATTAATATTTCAAAATAATATTTCAATATAAATTAACAGATATCGTACTTTACTATAACTTTAAACCAGAAATAGTTTATACAACTTTTAAACTAATTTGAAAGTCTAATTGAAAACCTGGATGCAATAACAGCTGAAGTAGATTTTAACTTATTTTGAGGAATTGAAAGATAAAATATTAAATTTGAATAACTGAATAACAAACTGTTAAGATTAAATATTATTTAAATTTTTCTTAATAATACCTAAGGCGTTTCAAAAGATTATTATGATTGAATATCTTACGCGATTAAGAGTATATAATAAATTAAGTTTTCTTAATATACGCTGTTATTGCACAGAATGCAGGAATATTATATAAATACAAATTTTGACTAATGTGTAAAATTCTGCTAAACATGAATGCACTGTGATAAAGAAAACAAGTTAGGATAAATCTCTGAATTAATTAACATTATTATGACTAAGTTTTAATATTTTATTATTTCCCTCATTTACTGTTAAAATCAAATTTATTTTCAGTACTTCCGATGATTATGCAATAACAGCGTAAGTTGTTAATGCTGTTACCCAGATCTTCAATTTAATTGCAAAAGAGCTGAGTGTAATAGAAATCATTTTTGTCTTAGTTCCATTGACCAAACATTTCATCTATTTTTTTATATCAATTTATTGATGTGCGATGAAATGTTCTCTTTCAGCTTAATATGATATTATCAAATATAATTTTACGTACTCAAATATAATTCATTCGTGCTCTGTCGTAACATGTTATTTTTCGAAACAAAATGAGCGAACGAGACATATTGTTTCATAACGCCAGTAAAATGCAATTAGATGCGAGATGTCGTCGACGTTGCGTTATTACGGGCCGATCCAACTCAGTTTCTCATTAGAGATGCTCTTCGTTTAACGCCGCCATAGTTACCGCCGATGACAACGACTAACAAGAGTCATACGATACAAAGGGGTAAAGTTCGCTCCATTATGTGAGCACAGGCACCCTGTCGACGTTAAAGATGTCAGTATCGGCTGGAGTTTACGCGCTGTTTCAGCCATATTTCTTTTCTCCGCAATGTTTAAAGCGTTTCGATTAATATAATACATACGAAAGTCTGCACCAGAATAGAGATACACCAAATTACAGTAGATTATAGTAAATTGTGCTCCGAATTGACAATAGGCTTTAATTATTAAAGTACTTCTAATATCTCTCAATAATATGTATATGTAGAATTATACATCAAAATACCATACACTGAGAAAAAAGTTGTTATCTTGAATGCATTTAGTTTATAGCGATTATTTAATTCGAGTATTTATACAGTTTAAGTTAGATATACGCAAGACATGTCAATATATTATTTGTTTGAATTAACAAATGCTTATTTAAATTAACAAATATTATTTGCTTAACAGTCCGTGACCGCTGCATTTAGTTGAATTAACTAATATTTTTTTGAAACGACAACTTTTTTCTCTCAGTAGCAAATGTCAATCATACACTGACAGAAAATGTACTAAATTTTAATAAATATCTGTTGAATAGTACTGGCTGAATATTTACTAAATGTAAACATATATTTATTTGGTATAAGTATCATTAATTTGATTTAATTATCATTCTTTAATTAGTAAATATTATATATTCTAAGTAAATATTTAATTAGTACCATTCAAATATTTATTAAAATTTAGTTATTAAAATTTAATTATTTTATTTAATTTTTTTCAGTATAATTTGATATTTTGCATCATTCTTTTGCACGGTTGCATATTCAAATTTTAGTACAAATTAACTTCGAAAAATTTTACTTCTGTGTGTCACACTATCGAAAATTGATTATCAATATTTAATATTTTTTTGGGTTCGAAAAATTTTCCTAAAACTCCTTTGCCTTTAAATCGAGATACGTTATTCTTATTCAGTTTTCGTGAACAAATTATAAGAGCATTTCAAGAGTATACTCGTAAAAGATCAAGGAATGAAAGGTTTTCCATCTTCTTTCAGATCTTTAAAATTGATAAGTAGATCTAGATAGGTATAAAGGATATTGCCTTTAACACAAGCAAGGAAATTTAATTAAACAATCGCTGAGTCGGTCGTGATGAAAATCGATTGCAAAGTATACATATACGGAGACACGGAGAATAGCATGATAAACCAATGGATTCGACCTATCGAAAGTGTGACATTTTATATCGATTGAGAATTTGAACGGCAATATAAAACAGTCGAGGCGTAAAACGAAAAAGACGAGCCGCCGATGCGAGTAAAATGGGTGTTAGAGAGATGGGTGAGATCGGTGTTATACGTCTGTGTACCAGGAATAGTCTCATTATCACATAGATCGAATCTTCTTACTTCTCTTTTATAGCACGTCTTTCGTCTTCGCTCTACTCCGTAGACATACAGTATCTGAGACAACCGTTCGAATAGAGTTAAAACGTAAACTCGTCATGTAATTTTGTTTCTCGATGCGATAACGTGATAATACTGACAACAGACACTTGCTTTGCTACCTGTTTCGAGAAAATTCAATAAGAACTAAGAGTTATAATTGGAAGCTTTAAAATTATAATACTTTAAATTTGATCGAAAATTAATCTAAGTATAAAACCTTATATTTTATATTTTTTAAAGAACTTTTTTTACTATAACATATAGGGTTAAAAAGAGAAAGATAAATAAAGTTACACAATCATAAATAATTTATTATTTATAATAAAAGATAAAAATTTGTATAATATAAGATATTATAAGATAAGTAAGATTATAGAGAGAAAGAGAGAGAGAGAGAGAGAGAGAGAGAGAGAGACAAAGAAAAGATATTTTATGTTAATGTAATATATTAGTAAAAAAATATAATATTAATATAAACTGTACATTATTAATATTCACATGTAATATTTACTAATAATAATGTACATATTAAATGTAAAATAAATAATTATAAAACACAATATGCATAGATTCATCAAACATGCATTTAGCAAATTTTATACTTGTGCATATATGATTATCAACACAAAATATTTGATAAATATTCATCTTAATGAAATTGATAATATACACACTATATAAAGTAAATATTTCCACTTTACAATAAACTATAACAGAAGTGTGTATCTTGCAACAATAATGCTAAATGTTAATTTTGCACAATATATCAAGATTAATATTCAATTTACGTACATGAAACAGATTATCAAATTGCCTTATTTCGGATATTATTTTTAGCAATCGTGAGAACTCGAGACAGCACGAAACTGAATCATCGTTTTTTTCGTAAAGCAGATAAAAGAGATAAAAATTCGATAAGAATTTAAATCCCTTCTCCTTTCTTTGGCAGACACAGCGGAATTTTGAGAATTCCAATCTATCATTTATGGCATTCGCTAGTAATTTAACATAGATTGGTGACGACGTGCTACACCATGTTTTCAAGTTAATGTCAACTAATTCTCGAAAATCGAATGGTGTCGGCGTCTCGATTGACTACAAATTCCTTACGGCATTCCAAGAGTTCGTCGCAATCGAACACACAATTAGAATTTGCCACGATGATGGTGACAATAATGATTAAAAAATCAATTAAACAATAATGAATTATTGGCAATTATAAATTTATTTGAAAATTTAGATATGATCTTTAGAAAATATGAAATATTGTACATTAAATATATAGGTATAAGATTTTATTTTTGACCTCTTTCTATTTTTTTATTTTTACCTTTTCAAGATTATTCTTTATACAAACATGCTTCAAAGAATTTTATTTAAAAGATGCGAAATTTCAATCTCTTATGCTCATCAATGTAGATTAACTTTAATCTCGGTTCGCCATCATTTCTAGTTCTAAGAATTAGAAAAAGTTGAAGAAAAAGTTGAACCAAGATTAAGGTTAATTTGCATTAGTGGAAACGGTCATTAATTTATCTGTCTTGAAATGTAATTGTTTCTCTTACTCTTTGTAAAATAATTTCAATCGTGATAAAAGTAAGAAAGTCTTTTTCTTTATATTACAATAAATTTAAATCAATATTTAATTCATTCAATATTTAGGTCGAAAATATTTGCTTTTTATCTCGTTGGAAATTACAAGTGGCGCATATGCAGATAGTAAATCGAAAACATACTTTGTGGCTTGTTTCATTCCTATTGAAGATAAATCTACCATGAACTCTTTGTAATGCGATTTAACGGATGTGTCGAAAGCGATGAGAAATGAGCACGGAAGAATTTTCAAGATGCAGCTTCTCTTGTACGAATCATCTGTGCGATATTGTGAGAAGAAATTGCTCGTCATAAAACGTGATGTTTCGATAAATGCCTCGGGATTTATGACATAACTCGGTTATTGCAACACAACGTTCGAGTACGTTAAATTAATTAATTGCACACGAGAACTCTCTGCTTGGTTACTCTTGCAACATATTCAATTTTCGAAATATTCATGATTTATGTTATTGATTAATTACATCGTAATTATGAGGCACACGAGCAATGTGCTCGAATATGCGTCGTCTTCAGAAGCAATACCGATGAAAGCTTTTCATCGGTCTTCTGCCAATTGTGTGTCATTCACAGGGACGAAGTTGTTAATGGAAATTTATTTAATGTTGGATAACACGTGTAAACTTAGTTGACAAGTTTGAAGTGTTAAACGCGATCAATGAATGAAAGGCAAGGGGCACACTCGTATATGCAAACTTCATAAACGATATCAGTTAAATGACGGTGTCGAAGTTCACTGTTCTATCAGACTATCAAGCCCGGTTTCATAATGCAACGTCCTTTAACGGTATTAAACGTTATACGTTACACGCCGTGTCGACTTCGATAAAAGCTGATCAATATAAAATCTGCACGAAGCAGAAAGCACAACATAAAACTATTCGAGGTATTTTTAATTATATTAGATAAATAGATATACGATGAGTGCAATAAGAGATATAGAGAGCTCGGAATTAAAGGTCTCTCTGCATAAATTATAAAATAATATGAGAGGAAAAAAGGTTTGTCTAAAATATAATAAATCCTCCGAAAAATTTAAAAAATCTTATTATACATATAATAATTTTTTAACTTTTTAAAAGGATTTATTCAATTAAACTTTACATAAATTTTTCCCTTTTATTTTCTATTCTGTAATTTACAAAATCAAATTTATTAATACTCTGACTCTTCTCTAATAAATATTTGTTTTATATGAGTAAGCACTGAATATATTTTTAGATCGTATCATATTTTAATATTTCATGCATGTAGGAAAAATTCCATTTCCGTTGTAAGTAAAAATATGACATGAACTTTTTCATCTAGTTAAAAATAGATTAGTCTGTCAGAATTTATCACGCATGCACATTTAAATTAACCTACATATCTAATAATAAACTCATTTCTCTTATTTTTACGAGCAGAAATATGCAAAAATCAAATGTTGAATTTCTCATATTTTCGTTGAAATTTAGTATCGTTAAATTTTTTTGAAGAATCAGAAGATTCTTGTGATCAAGAGAGCAATGAAAGAACGCGGGCGGACTTACTCCGTGCGGATTTGGCGATCAAACTGAGCAAATTCTTGTATTCCTCGGTGTCGGCTGTCTCCTGGTTGAAGCTCTTATGCGCCGGCGTTTGATTGAGCGCCGTATATACGGCGCTCAGCGTGAAATGACACTCGGAATTGCCTTTACTGCTGGCCATCTCGTGATTGTGAAACAGTAAACCGCAGATTTTCCATCCAAAACTGCGTAGAATATGTCTGAGCGCCTCACCCACCAAACGATGAGAGCCCATCATCCTGGTTAACGTCGGATAATGCTGGCCTTTATGACGGAATGCTTCCGCCTGCGCACCCGCTGTCAGCACCGGTATGCCCCACACACCCGCGTACCTTGCCACAGGCGCGATCACATAATCACACACAGGGCCCAGGAAAGCGTCTGTTGCGATCCGAGAAGAAAATTCGGGAAATTGATTTATCGCACTTTGCGCCAGTTCCGCTGGAGTTAGTCGAGAGGCCCATTGTGAGTGCAAGACATCACGAAAAGCTCATTTAAAACCGAGATTACTGTGAAATATAATCTTTTAGAGACTTTCTACAATAAGTTATTACCTAAGTTTTAAGTCTTAAACAGTAAGAAATTGACTAATTATAGTCGATTGTTCTTCTCATATTCAACCGTAAATCAATTTCTTATAACTTAAGACTTAAAAGTTAGGCAATGGCTTATTGTAGAAAGCCTATTATTTGTATAATGCCTTATATAAATAATCATAAAAGATTATAGCGCTTGTAAATAATGTCTCCACAAAAAGAACAATTTTGCTGAAGTATCTAAAAATATAGCTAGATATAGATCTAAAAATAATTTTGTTGAGCTATCAAATAATTACGGAAATTAGGAATCTTAAGCACGATGAGTAATACTGGAAAAAGTTTTGACATTCTAGCAATCAATTTGAGTGTCCGACGTAATTATTTTGATGGTCCAACAACATTATTTTCAATTTGTATCTAACTAAATTTTTAAATGTTTCAGCAAAATCGTTCTTTCCTAAACGATTTAGTTTCCTTCTTCTATATAGAAGAAACAGATCACCCAAAAGTTACCGAAAGTTTAATGTTTCGACTGAAATAAATAGCGATCGTATAAATTCTGAAAGTCAGCTTTACGACCGATTATATTTATGATTTATGATTTATCGTGCACGTGAACTTGCGAATCGTCTGTATGTCATATACAGTTTTAAGTATGTAGACTCGAGTCCAGCTATGATAGAAAGTGTAACAAAATAGAACCACGTGCGCAAAATAGATAACACGAATTTAAATTTATGAATTCGTATATTGGCTCCGCGTTATAATCCTATTAGTGTCGCCTATATGATTCGATATGTCGATAACAAGTGTATATTGTTTATCAAAGAGACTTTGGTTGTACAAGACGTACACTCGTACGCGGATTACACGGTTGATTAACGTATCGATTCGTGGACGCAATTAAATTAAGCTGGAACATTTCGTGTTCGCTCACATGGCTTACTCGCTGAGGATATACTTAGATTAGACCGCAACCGATTATAGAAACGTCGATGTAAATCCTCCTTTTGAGAATACGCTTTTAACGATTATTAATATTGAATGCCCAACTGATATGTGACAGATATACGAAATGTTCCCGTGAAATAAATGTTTGGAAAAATATAATACTTGTTATTATGTCAGCAGCATATTGCACGTGGAGTTCACAATTCCCCACGACACTAAGGCTCGTTGGTCTCGTATCCATGTACGCGCATGTCACACACACACTCATATATACATACAATATGTTTTTCAAATGCACGTGCAATTAAAATCTCGCCGACCGGGACGATATACCGCGAATCTGTGGTTAGCGAGGGAGAGCTCAACAACATGAACATGATGTACGAAGATAATAGAACGACCAGTTAATTAAATAGATTGTTACTCTTCCGCTGTGTAAGGAACGTTTATTGTCTACGGGATTTCGAACCAAAGGCGAATCAAAATTCCATTATTTTCTACACAATACTCGTTGTAATTAGCGGTAACATTCGCTTCGTACTAAATGTCGTGCGGGCAAAGAAATGGAGATGTTTTGTTAAATGATCTCATATAAAAGTTTATTCTTATTTGCGAAATAAATACTACGAAAAATGGTAATAAAGACGCACGTTGGTGCATTCAGCTTATTGTTGAAATTAAAGCATATCAGTTTTTACAAACAACTGTATTCGTTTTCAACTGTATTCGCTTGGTTTATATGAACTCCGTGTTAGTAATAAGCCGCATGACCTGAAACTAAGCTAAATCCTCGATTCCCGCAAGCAATGCGCCTCTATGGAGTCGCGGTTATAATTAGTAATCACGAGACATATTGCCTCGATATCCAATTCCACATAAAGGTAAACATTACTGTGAAATAATCGGTCAGAACGACATACATTCATGTTTAAAATGCATTAATTCATATAACTGACGGCAGCCGAATCCCCGCCTAATTTGGAGCCTCCAATCTTCATCCATCGAAGCTATATGTAATATGATAATAACTGCGTCAGGTTACCTAGCGTCATTGTGGCTGCAAATTCCAACGTAAAGCGGTTATGTCCGATTAACGCCGCATGCATCCCCAATGTCGCTTCGACCCAGCATGTGGTCGCTTTTATCTGACGAGATTGTCAAAGTTGGAGTTTATGGCAACTATACGCTGTGCGAAGATTCTCATGGGAACTTATAAAACTCATTACATCGTTAACGGATCGTGCATTAAATCGCGCGTATATATCTTTTTTAATATTTTGCTTTTAACTGTATCTTACGTAATTTTAAATTATTTTCTTATACATTTCTTTCATAATTAATTTTAATTTATTATCTTAGCATTGATTATCTTACGTAATTTAATTTGGGATTTAATTTTGATAACATTTAGGGTAAATACGAATTTACACGACATCTATAATAATTACAAAATTTTTCATTAATTAAATTTCAAGATTAGGTATCGATAAAAAATTATACAAAAAGTTTGCAAGGAACAATTGCTTTCCTTTAATTGTTAAGATTAAATTGACTTATTATATTTATATTTGTTCTTATTATAGAGTTGTACTTCGTATATTTCTTGTTAGCACGATACAATACGTTATCTGGGATAATGTAAAAAAAATATAGAGTATATAAAAACAAATTGTGTTTCAGTGTAAATCGTTGTTCAATGTAGAATGCACTTTTTAAAAGCATATCCTGTTAAAACTTCCCTTTCATCGGATGAATAAAAACTCGTCTCGCGCGAGGCTCTAAAACGTGAGAGCGTGAAAACGTGACTCGTAAATTCGGCCGAAAATTAAGCCGCAGATGACGAAGTGCATTCCTAATGATGATGAGTTATTATATTCACATGCCATATTCTAGTATATTGCTAATATTTTTGTGCAGAGGTTATACAGGTATAGTTTTGCATAAATAAACGAGGCATTTCGCGAATTTTACGACGTAAACATGCGCTTAATACAGATCGTGAAACGAATAAAAAGAGAATTTTACGAGTATGATTTATTTATGTCGATTTGGAGAGGAAGGATAAAATCATGAATAATAATTCTAAATCGATTTTTAAAATGTTCACAGCAACGGATTAAGCGGTATAGCGATGCGAATCATTATTAATGATAAAGATATTTACGTGAAATATAAAAGCGTATATTACGAAATAAAATGTGTTGTATTATAACAAATTAATGTATTATGTATAACATAAAATTATTGATGCTTTTAACAGCCATCAAAAAGTGTAATAGGATTAAGATTGATTATTTTCGTATTTTGTTAAAATTTGTTGTTTGATTGAATTCTTATTTTTTAGGCTAAAAGAAATATGATTCATAATATATGCAGCTAGCTCAGATATTCTAAGCTCTCCGCATAGACCGTCGATACTATTATAGGCAGACTTATTTTTATCCTTGCAGACTTTTTCCGGATCCCATCCTTTAGACTTGAATAAAGCAACAAGTGTTACGAAAGTGTATACGAAAATTATCTATTCAGTACCTAGATATGCGCTGCAAGGGTGGGAATTCTAAATTAGAGATAGTCGAAGATACGTTCTATCTATGAAAGCCCCATCAGCTTTGGGGGTAAAGGCTATTCTCGTCACGTACTGCTGGCTTAGCGCGCAAACTCAATTTCATTATTACTTCCTCGACGTCTACGTGATTTTTGTCGGGTAAGAGATAATATCGTGGATCACCACCTTGTAATTACTGTTGGCTACCGCAATGCGCACAGCCGCAGAGTTATTACATTATATTCTTTTGCGCTGTAATAAAAAATGTAGCTGAGTAAAAAACTTTTCTGATTCTGGATTTAGAATATTAATAAAACGATTGCTTCATACGTATGAAATATTTCCACATAAATTAAATTTTGTTTAATTCGTAACACGGTTGATTCTATAGTGTCCGTATGTATATATATATATATATAAAATATATATACACATATATATATATGCATACATAAAATCAATATATCAGAATATAATATAAAAATTTAATACTTACTACGAAAACGTAAGGAAAAAAGAATTATACTTACAAAACGCTTTTGTTTTCTGTCTTTCAAACGAAATAAGGAAATTCTGGGAATTATTATCACGATTTTGGATATCTCGGATTAAATCTCATGACTTTAATTCCGGGTAATTACACTCGCGCGGCATTATCTACTTTAGCTGTTCTCCAAATCACGGACATAAATTCATATTTCTTGTAATGTATACTGCGAATATAATATCATCAAGCTACAATCCAATTCTATTATAAAAATGCGTGCAATCGCAAGAGAAAGACTGATTATTACCTTGTGCTATGACAATCACGAGTGAAAATAATGAGTAGATATATGTAGTTGCAAATTTCATGTCGTATTAATATATAAAAACAGGACTAAAAAGTTTTTGTCAATTCAACTTGAAAAGAAAAAAGTTTCCTTGTCTCATTATTTTTAAAAGAAACAAGAAATGTCACACTAATTAATCCTATATAATTTAGGTGCACTTGAAAAATGTTAAAATTAAAATACAACAACCAGCTCTCACTTTTTCTGAAGAAAACAGTCAAAGAGGATGAAACGCGAAGTTTTGTGGTGAATAGTAAACCGAGAGAACGTGCAACGAGACCCCGTCTCATTAAAAACTAAACTGCATCTCTCGCGGTTGCCTCGTTTCAATTCACGATGTTTCTTCGCCCTCGATGAGCTTGGTGGCAAGAAAAATACACCTGCGGTGCTGCATACCATTCAGATATTATACACGGTCTTCCACAATCGCGACAAAATAAGATCACAAATGTGTTTACTTTCAGAACTGGGATGAAAAGTTATATGTTAGATTTTTGCGGCACTCTGTTT